AAAAAAAAGATATTTACTTATTCAAAAGAAGTATGTTGTTGTTGTGTACCGTTGAGTTGGAACCAACCCATAGCTGACCCTCCAGCAGGTTTTCGAAGGCCATTAATCGCACGGGAGGAGACTGCCCATTATTCTCCCGCCAATACTTCTGCTAATTCTACAGACAAGTTAGCCTGTGCCATAAATGTCATTAACATCTATAATTCGACCACTGGGATGAAAGCAGACAGGTTTTAAGAATGAGGTAATCAATGAGTAGGAGGAAAAAGGATCTACTCTTCAACAAGCAGTTATTTATCAGAAATATATAACAGCCAAGGAGTCCTGGTGACACACTGCACTACATGTTGGTTTGCTAACAGAAAATTTATGGCCAAAATCTATAAGCAGTTCTGAGAAAAAAAGAGGAAACAGTCTGTTCCATTAATATGTATAATCTCAGAAACTCAAAGGTGGGTCATCATGACTTGGAATCCACTTGATAACAATGTTGTTGTTGTTGTTGTTGTTGTTATTAGGTGCCGTCGAGGCGAGTTCAACTCATAGATGCCCTAGGAACAACAGATCAAAACCCTGTCATATCCTTTGCCACCCTCATACTGCCTGACACATTAGAGCCCATTGCGGCAGTCACCACAATCCACCTGGCTGAGGGTCTTCCTCTCCTTCACTGACCCTCAAACTTTCTCAGCATCATCTCTCCCTCCAAGGAATGGCCCCTTCTCGGAACATGCCCAAAGTATGTGAGGTGAAATATCTTCATTCTTGCCTCCAAAGAGCACGCTGCACTCTCTCCAAGAGAAAGTTATTTGTTCTTTTGGCAGTCCATGGAATGTTCATCTCGCTCCTCCAACACCACAGCTGAAAGCATCAATACTTTTTATGTCATTCTTTTTCACTAACTAGCTCCTCAATGCATACCAAGTGATTAGAAAGACAATGGCTTGAATCAGACACATCTTAGTCCTCAAACTGACATCATTACTCTTCAATAATTTGGAGAGGTCCCTAACTTCTCCAAATAAATAATAATGGTAATGAGTTTTTATTTATTTTGAATAACCAAAGGATTCCTGATGGAGCAGAAGTAAATACGTTAGCTTGCTAATCTATGGGTTGAATTTCCCAGCCTCTTCTGCTATACAAAACAAATAAGTGGCAGTTGACTTGCATAACAATTCACAGCCTTAGAAATTATATGGGTCAGACTTATGGGGTCACACAAAGTCAGAATCAAGAAAATAGAAATGGGTTATAATAATCAAGTGCACCCTGGGGTCATAATAGATGTCACCTCTTTGAGATGTTACAGCCTGGCTGGCAAGCTGAAAAGTACAGCATGACAAGATGACCAAAAGTACAATGAGGTTTAGGAGAATAAAACCTGACCTTGATGTGATAGCTAGAGAAGTCAGAGGAGGATAACAGTGTGAGTTATGATAGTCACAAAGATGACACTCAGAAAAGTACAAATGATTCAAGAAATTGTTGGTAGGTGCCATTAAGTTGACTACAATCCATAGAAACCCTATGAATGACATCTATACCTGCTCCATTCTCATGATCTCTGATACGCTCAAGCTGATTGTTACAGTCACTTTGCCAATTCATCCTGGTAAGGTTTCTCTCTTTCTCTCATCTCTCCACCTTTTCCAATATGGTATCCTTTTTTCCAAGAACTCTTGGAGCAATATCTCCAAAGTACGTGCGATGAAGTCTCACCATACATAAGAAGGCTCAATGTCTTTGAATTTGTGGCGCTGAGAAAAATACAGAATAATTCCATAGACTGCCAAAAGAACAACCACGTTTGTATTGGAGGTAGTGCAACCAGGTACTTCTTAGAGGCAAGGATGATTCAAGATGGCAAAGAGAAAACAGAAATTACTTCAACCGAGAACAGCAGTCCAAAGCAAGGATAGAAAAGCTCAAGTAAGATGTGTTTGGTGGAACCAGAGACTCTGTAAAACAGTGGTTGCGAAGCGGATTTAGATTGAAGCATGTTACAAATGGAAGACATTTGTTGTTGTTAAGTGCCATTAAGTTAAGTACGACTCAGCAGCCATATGAACAAAAGATCTGAACATATCTATCCTGTCCTATCCTGTACCATCCGCACACTTCTGAACACACCAGAGCCCATGGGGCACGTACTATATCAACCCACCTGGTAGAAGGTCTTCCTCTCCTTCGCTGACCCTCCACCCTTTCCAGCATCATGTCCCTCTCCAAGGAATAGCCCCTCCTACCAACATGCCCAAAGTATGTGAGGTGAAGCCTCATCATTCTTGCCTCCAAAGAGCACTCTAGCTACACCCTCTCTAAGACTTATCTGTTCGTTCTATTTGCCATCCATGGGGTGGTGTTCAGTGCTCTTCTCCAGCACCACAGCTCAAAGGCATCAATTCTCCTTCTGTCATCCTTATTCACAGTCCAGCTCTCAGATGCATGGCAAATGATCAAAAAGACCATGTGCTGAATCAGATGCACCTTAGTCCTCAAACTGATATCATTACTCTTAAGGTCCCTAACTGCAGACTTTCCCAGTGCAATATAGCTCCTGTTTTCCTTACTGCTGATACTAAGGGTGTTAATTGTGGATCCAAGTAAGATGAAGTTGTTGACAGTTTCAATCTCTTCTCCATACTTTGTGATGTTTGTTGCTTATTGACCCTGTGGTTAAGAATCTTTGTTTCTCATTCCCACTGGACCCACCTGGGAAAATACTTTGCAGTCCAGAGGGGAGCAAATGACAGGAAAATATCTTCTAACAGAGCAAGGAGGCAAGCAGCTGTAACCCAAGACCACCAGTAAGGTGATAAAGCATCCTCCCTTCCCCCCTTTATATCTACGCCCCTGTTCAGCATGAAGAAGCCAGAGAGTCAGCACCCAATTCCCAAATCAATAAGACAGTTGGTTTAATTACCATTGGAAAATGCTTGTCATTCCTCTGTAGCATCTGGTCCCCACTGGACCCTCATCATTTCCTTCACCTGCTCCCCCCACCGACCAAACTGTGCAGCTCTGCAACTGCATCCTAGCCCATCCTCATCCTTCTGCCCCCAACCCTCACCTCCTTGTACCCCCAATATGGTTTTCCCAATAAAAAAAAAAGAATCTTTGTTTCTTAACATTGATGCAATCCATGTTGAAGATTTAAAAGATACAAACAATGACTTTACACATGGATCTCACCTCATTGGCTGCATAGGAATCAAAGTGACTGTATCTGTGGAAGAAATTGTTGGAGAAGCTTAATATTGGCAGTCAAAATGAGGCCAGAAGTGGACTGTAGGTCAGACCGCCAATTACTCATATGCAAGTTCAAGTTGAGGCCAAAGAAAATGAAAATAAGTTCACAGGAGCCAAGATATGATCTTGAATCCATTCCATCTGAATTTCAAGGTCATCTTAGGAATAGGTTTGAGACAT